AAATTTCTGGGGTGCTGTTGGAGGAGGACCAGGTCCTATCCATGAAGCCCTACCCCAACATTTCCCCAAATGATCCCCTACCTTTTCCATACAGATGTTTTCTCCTGAAAGTGAATCAGATTTTCCTGTTCAGGGTTGTGTTCCAGCATCTCCAGTTTTCAACTCTGAGTCTGACACTATGTAGTCTACATGCCCTGGTTTCATGATTATTGGGAGGTCACAATCCCTTTTCCCAGTTCCTTCATAAAGGATTCCAGCATCAATGAGAGATGCTCCATGGACAGCAGACCCTTTGAAGGCATCCAGCTCAGTTTCTGGTTGGAATCACTGAAGATCATCACTGGCAGGTCTTTCTGCCATTGGCAGTTTTAACAGACTCCCTTCTGGTCCACATGCAGAGTTCCACTTAGGAGGTAGGATTTGCTCCCTTTAGGCCACTGGCTTGGACTTCCTCCATTCTCAGAATTCTCCATGTCCCATTCCTCTGCTGGGATCTGTATTCTATCCTGAATCCTCCTGGACCTGACCTGCTGCACCTCTGTCATCCCCTTTACAGTCATTTTCAGGAAGGTCTCTGACACCACAAATGGGAGCGTTCATCAGCATCTTCCATGTTCCAGTTCCCATCCCTCTCACTGTGCCTGCCAGGTGTGTTTACCTTCATGGTTCTTCACAGAACTATTACCAAGATCAGCAGGAGGCTAGGGTAAAAGAGTAGCTGTACGGGGAACCAGTAGGCTCCACCTTCTGCACTTGATCCATTGTGTATCTTCATGTTCTGCCAGTCTGTACATCCAAGACCCTGTTTTACTCCTCTAACATCCCAAGCCTTACATAATTACTTCCTTCTGGACACATGGAGTAAGCCTTCAGGAAATATCCAGACACATGAGGTTCTCATTTCAACATGAGGTTGATACTCAGTGTAAAGATGAGTGTTGAAACTCATAATAGCACATTAAAATAGTTTTCATTTTTACTCAGAAAAACATTAACAGAGAAAAGCAATACAATAATTTGAGAAAATACAGTAAAAGAAACAAGGAAGCTTTCTCTTTTGGGGTCTTTCATGACAAGTTTTTCCTCATGTTCTTTGAATACCATTCTGACTACTTTCAGTTTGTACAGAGACACATGAAACCTGTGGAAAAACCATAAAGAAAAGATACTCTTCATGTTTCTTGTTCTGTTTTATGTAGTATCTCACCAGACTTATGTGAAAAAGTCTTTAGCAAACATGCACGACAATTGTACCACGAGATTCTGTTCTTCAGCCTACATGAAAGTAATCACAAATTTTTTGGATGTGAAATTTATGTAGGGAGAGTCAGGAAAAAGGATAAATATATCTTTATTTTTTACTCTAATTCTGTGTAACACATTTGGGTAAATTCACTACTTAAATCCATAAAAGTATTTAACTCAAACCTTGTGGATCAGGAATCCATGGTAAGTTTGCCTGTGTCTCCTGTGTAGCTTCCTACAGGTGGTAATGCAGGTCTCCCCTGGGCTGTGATTCCCAGAATAGCCTTTTAGGATATTCAGAAGGTCTCTAACCTTCTGTTTCCATGCCATGACATCTATTTCCTGTTGCAAGTCACTTCAAATCTCTGAAACTTTCGTTTTGCAATGCCAGAAGAAAACATTGTTGGAGTTCCAATATGTGCCTTGAATATTGTTTCCCTGTAATTATCTTATGTTGAACAAATAACTTGGTGTAAATAATCTTGTCAGCTTGGATGGAAACACACACTGAAAGGCACAGACTGTGAGATGGGATTGAGGAAAAGGACATGGAAGTATCAGAAGAGAGGATTAGAGAACTCTTTGAGTCCAGGACCCACAAGCTTACATGAATCTATAATTAAGAAGGCACTGGTGACTCCTGTATTTCTAGCTATTCAGGAGGCAGAAATCAGGATAATTGTGATTTGAAACTAGCCTGAGCACATAGTTAAGGAAACCATTCTTAAAAATATCCATCACAAAAAAGCGTAGATGGAGTGGGTCAAAGTGTAGGTCCTGAGTTCAAATGTCAGGACCACCAAAAGGAAGGAGAGGTTTAAGGCCTCTAAGCCTAGGTCCTAGGATATTGTGAGGATGTAGCTGATCTTAAGAGAAACATGGGGTCTGCAGAACACCAGTGACAGTTGATAATATGTCACCCCTAAATCCCAGGATGAGCAAAATAAGCTAGAGTTCACCTGTTGTGTTAGCACTTCATATTACAACAGTTGAGGAGGTAAGATTTTAAAGATGAAAGGCAAAACAAGGACATGGAATCCCTGCCATGTTCTTGTTTTCTTATATGCTCAATGTACTGTCGAGGTCTTCATGAATCTTGTTATGAAAACGTACGTTTACAGATATATTTGAGAAAGCTGATTTGCATTGCTAGGAAGTGAAAATATGCATACAACTTGTCATGTTTTTAAGGATTTCATTGGTATTAAAAGAAAATTAAATACACACTTAAGGTTGTTTGAAAAAAACAAAAACAAGTCAAGGAAATCATTTACCATAATCACTGCTATTGTCAACATTTAGAGTCAAAAATCTAATTTCATGTAGGTCACAAGGAAGGTTGCACATGATAGGGACTAAGCACAGTTTTCCTGAAAAACAGTCATTTAGACACCAAGCAGATAGGTTTTTAATTTATATGTACATAGGTGTGTCAAACTTATTTCCTGTAAAGTTAACTTGAAAGAAAACTTTGCATGTGGCACTGTATCAAGTTCCATTTAAAGTACAAGTTAGATTGTAAAGTCTAAAACCTATCAGAAGAGGAGAATTCCAGGGCAAGTGGAGGCTTAGCAGGCAGGGGAACATGGCATCATAATGAATCCAAAACCCTATGTTGGGTCACACGTAATTAGATTTTCAATCAATTCTTCCTTTCCATCTCCTGTTTAGGACATCCTCATCAGCAGAAGGAGCCATATAGAGACTATGATTAGCAAATTCTTCTCCAGCCACATTTTGTCTGATTTTTTATCTCTGGCTTATTATTCTCACATTGGTATCCTCCAAACTTTCTTTCTAGAATCTCTTCCTCACAAAGATATTGGAAACAAAAATATTTTTGAACTTTCACAGTAAACTTGGTGGATTTGAAAACATTATGTCAACACTTGAGAACACCCTTTAATATGTTTTTGATTTACTAAGAGCTTTTCTACATGAAGGTGACTGGAAGGCATAGGGGCCTCCAGACACCCAGAAAGAAGCAGAAGTTGTCTCATCCAGTTCAAGGATAGGTCCAGATTCCCAGAGACTGTGGGCCCAAAAGTCAAAGAATCAGAAACCACAGAATCTCTCAAATGTTCAGAAAAACAGAGACATTTAATCACGCTCAAAAAATAGAAAGAACAGAGGCAAAAGTAAGATAAGGGGAAGGTCCCACTAAAATTTAGGCATTAAAAGTAAGGAGATGGTGTTTCTCCAACTCTCCAAAATTTGCAAAGTCATTTCCATGAATTTATTGGGAAATTGGAGAGAAATAGACAACCGCTATATTTCCCCTTGGGAGCTACAAGGAGTGGCCAAATTTATTTCATGTACAATCAGTGAGAGAAGTCAAGGAAAGACTGGTTTCTTGGCAGTCCACAGGCACAAAAAATTGGAGTCCCATGAACACTATATGGAGAAATAACAGGAACTGCCTGCAGTTATGGGGAGTTCCTTACATAAGGGAAGGAACAAACACAGCACAGATCATAGGGCTGAACAGTATGAGTCACAACAAAGGTTGAACAGAACTGAGATGCAGAATCTATTCTCCCCATTGTAGTTGGTAATAAGGGAATAGCCAATTAACATTGATTTGCCCTCAGCAGGAATACCTGCAGAGGAAGCTTAGACATTAGAAGTCCAAGGATCCCTGAAGGGAGACTGGGGCCCAATTGGATGAAGCTGACAGAATCCTCTGAATATCAAAGTGTGAGTCTTCCCACTTGTGTGTTGATCCTTTTCACTTCTAGGTGAACCAGATTATTCACATCCATTTCCATTGCTTGTGCACAGTTTGTTAAATCTCTGTGGCTAATAGGATCCAACTTTATATGTTTCCTAATGAAACACTGCCCTCTTTTTCTTTGTATTTGCATGATCAAGTTTGTGTTTTAATTGTTGTTATGTTGTGGCACCTGAAATAAAATGATCAGACAAAATTGATTGCATTCAATTTAAATATGGTGTAGACAGAGTAGAAAGGTCATAAATACATAAGAATGTTATTGTATTAAAATTTAAAAAGTCTTAAGTAAGAAAATAAATCTTTCCACAAATGCGTTATGATGAATATAATGACAAGTGATTCAGCCATACATCCACGATCAGTAATGAGGTAATGTGTCTGCCTGCATAAATTCTAATGAGATTTTCTGTGACTCAAAGGAAATCAAAAGAAAACTCTCATTCATGTATTTTATAACTGTTTACTAATAATAATTCATTGTCAAATCTATAAATTTTAATGCAGTTTTTGAGAGCTGGAAAAAGTATTGTTATACACAGGAGGAGGACAGACAGAAAATAAAAGCAAAAGAAAAATGATACCATTTAGTACTAAAAATCACTTATAATTAGTGAGATTGGATCTCAAAGAAACAGCTGGGCATAGTGTTGTGTGCCAGTGGACTCAGCTCCATTGGAGGTGTGGGTCAGAGGATCACAGTGCAAGACCCACCCCTGAAAAAACATGAGACCTTATCTGAAATAATTATCTAAAACAAGAACATTCTGGTATTGTAAAGCAAATGCATAGGAAGCACATGACTGAGTTCAGATACCACTATCACTAAAATAAATACAGGAGAGAACTCCAGACTCACTGTGCATGGTGATGTCTGGTAGGAGGTGGCTGGATAGGATCCAGAGCTTCAGAAATGAAAGTTCATGTGTTTGTCCATCTGCACCTGCCATTGGGACTAAGGCTGTGCTTGCTGTGAGCTGCGCGCCCCCTCCTGGTCCTGTTTGCTCCTGCAGGGAGGTTTGTGTCAGGGCTCACACTGAGTTCCGCTCACTGTGTCACTTGTACAGTAATATGTGGCTCTGTCCTCTGAGGTCACAGAGCTCAGCTGTAGGTAGAACTGATTCTCAGACGTGTCCCTGGAAATGGAGATGCAGCTCTTGAGGGATGGGTTGTAGCTTGTGCCTCCACTAGAACTTATGTATCCCATCCACTCAAGGCTTTTCCCTGGAGGCTGGCGGATCCAGCTGCAATCATAACTGCTGATTGAGGCACCAGAGACAGCACAGGTGAGGGACAGAGTCTGTGAGAGCTTCACCAGTCCTGGTCCTGATTCCTGCAGCTGCACCTTGGACAGGACACCTGGAGACAAGAAGAATCATTACAGTTAGTCACCTGTGGTTATGAACTTCTCATGGACCCATGTGTGAATTTGGGGACATTCACCTTGGGAGCTGTCACCAAGCACAGGAGAAGAAACAGCAGCCTCATCTTCTGGGCCACAGCCCTGCCTTCCCAGAAACCTCAATCCTGTGTGAGGAGTGAGCTGTGAGCTCCACCAGCCTGAGAGGGGATTTAACTTAAAGACTGAATGATAATTTGCATGTGGATAGTCCTCTTCTTATACATGTGGAGCACTGAGGTCCAGATGCTCTGGAACCGGTTACATTGTCACACTGCTGCTCTTATATGAAGTCTAGGTCTCCCATACTCTGATTTAATTCATCTGTTATCCAAAGGATACAGCAGCCAGGACAATAGAGACTGGATAGAATGCTGTCTGTGGTTCAAGCATGGAGACACATGTGTATAATTCCAGTAAATGGGAGTTGGTGAACATAGGATCACAGTTCAAGTCTAGTCTTGCAAATTTTAGGAAGAATGGATGGCACAACAGAAATTTTTAAAAATTGTTAGGACATAGTTCAAGTAGGAGAGCACTTGAAGTACTAGGCACTGTGTTCATTCCCCAACACTGCAAACAATGCTGTCTGTGCTGTGCTTTATTCACAAAGGAGATTGTGAGCAATTGCTGGAGAGACACAAGCAATCTTCTTTCAATGACCAGTCCCCACATATGAATTCTGCTCCTCCTGTGGCGATGTTCACATTAACTTTCAGCTTCCTCTTGTTCTGCATAGGATATTCCTGCATGTAAACTACTAAATGAATCATTAATCCCCCTTTGTAAACACATTTATAATTGATACCATCAATAGAGTGATAATGTCCACAGCAGTCAACTCAGACACCCATGAAGCCTTAAGATCCTACACCCATTCTGCTTCTTCAAAGTAATTTCAGAAACTTGCTTCCAGACCCCTGTAGCCTGCTTCTGCTCTTATTTTTCAGGTTCAAATCCATAATGTATGCTTTAATATTGTTAGGATTGTGGAGAGCAGGATGGACATATAACTTCCCTAGTGAAAAGAGACTTTCAGGAATCCATGAGTCAATGCTTTTCCAATAGAATGGAGACTTCATCACAACCAACAGATTTAAGGACAAATCACTCACTGTTCATATTCTCTTGACTTCTGACCCAATCCTCAGTGGACAGTTATGGCTTCATGACTCCCCACCTCCCTAGTGACCCAGGATGGACCTCCCTTGGGCAACACAAGGGTCACTCCCAATGTCACAGACAAGAACACAGAAGCCATAGGGTTCTGGGTTTGTGCCCAGGAACTGACCACTCCAGAGCATGTGGTGTCCTTCAGAGAGCTAAACCATGGTGGGTTGAGAACTGCACTAAGGATTTGGGAGTCACATGTCCTGTCCTAGAGGGCCAGGAGGAATATGGTGCATGCATTCCTCCTGTCTATGACACCTACATAGGTGGAATTATAGGCATGTGACAGATGCCTGGCACATTGTTGAAATGAGAATCTCATTCCTATTGCCCATGCTGATATTGAATTGTGATCCTCCCTATATGTACATCTCAAAAAGCTGGAAAATAAGGTAGTTTAAAACAAGGACACTTGTTTTAAAAAGTTAAATAATAGATTCCACTGCCTTAAACACCACAAAAGATTACAGTAATATTGTCCTAAAGAGCATTCTTGAGAAGGTGGCAATGTCCATTGTCCAAGAATGTGGACATGGTGGAGACATTGGTAAGCGGTTACTGTTATCAGACAAACCTCCATTAGATCCTTTCTTTCACTACCCAATGGTGTATTTTACTCATTTAGCAAAATAATTGTTTCTGTTCTCTTATTTATTTGGTATAGAGATTGGAAAAAATATGCATTTTGTTTCCATCACCTTTCAAAAAGGGTATAGTATCATGGAGAGTGACTTTGTATTCAGAATATAATGCTCCAAGTTATGGTGAGCTTATTCTTCTATGGAATGGAGTTCCCACTAAACTATTAAGAGTTCTCACCTAGATAATGCAGTTTACAGTTACTCCCTTGCCTGGGTCTTGGAACATGAAGAATCATTTTCAAGACATTTTACTCTAAAAGTGGAGGGAGATTCTGTATTTCAATAAACGTTTGCATATACTGAATGGCAGGAAGCAGTTTGCAAGTGAGGGAATAAAATTCATGTACTGGAAATTAGACCTTTACTGACTTCCTGGGAGGGATCTGTGTTGAGTGGTCCCTGAGGATCCCCTGCTGGTCCCTTGTGGTCTTCTCCAGTTGGTTCTGAGTGACTTTCACTGGTCCTGGGCACCCCCTGGTGGTGCTGAGAACACACTGTTCTTCCAGAGTGTTCCCCTATGTCCTGGACAGCCCTGGTGGACCAGAGCTCCCTCTGCTGAGTACATCTGCAAAGAGGAATGTGTCTAGGCTTAACTTGTATAGAAATGACAGCACCTTAGGCACAGAAATACACAGCACTGTCCTCAGATGTCATACTGCTCAACTGCAAGAACACTTGGTTCTTATCTGTTTCCCATGCTATAATGACTCTGGATTGCCAACTGTGGCTGTAGTTAGTGTTCCCTTTAGCTCAGATCATACCAATCCAATCAAGGCCCTTCCTAGCTGATGTTGGACCCAGGACACAAAATATTCAAGTACTGAGAGTGTATATGTACACAGGTGAGGCTGAGAACTTTGGAGTGAGTGGATCAAGGCTTCTTCCCCCCAAAGAGCAGAGTTATTTGACTCTCCAATGCTGTGGCTCTGAATCATCCTTCCATGGGATGTAACAAATCATCAGAGGAGACTGCTGGAAATGCTGAAGTATCTGGTCTGGGGAAGGATTCATGGTCCTTGATGAAAAGGAACATCCAGTGATTCCCTCTGTGTGCCTTCACCACGAATGGTCACAATTTCATAATAAGTCTACTTCTAGCATCAACACTGGAGAATGCTTTCCAACTCCTGAAGCTCAATCTGCATGAATTAAAATGAGAGTTCAGTCAGTTGGAATGAAATCATCAGAGACTGGGTGCATAGCAACCCTGAGACTTTCCATCTGCTCCCATCCCCACTGGCCTCACATGCACTGTGAATATGAGGAGCTGAGGAGGCCCTAGCACTGCACAGTCCCTGAAGCTACTGCCGACTCTGATATTGATGGATCTGGACATGACTGTCGGAGCTGAACTGGACCTCGAGGACCCATCCAGCATGAGTACTTTCATGTCCTAAGACACAGGTTCCTCTCAGGAAACAAAGGCCGAGTTAAACAGGTATTGCCAGGAACCTTGGCAGTATTTTATCTGCATTATTGATGATTCTCATGTCCTCCTTCTAAATAGCTACAGTAAAGGAGTGAGGCACTGGGACTGACCTTAAAGGGAACATTATGTGGGAAAGTGAATGACATGATTTACATTCTGTGGCTAGTCCTTCAGCTGTCATTGGGTAATCTGGATAGAAGGTCCATCCGTCTTTCCCTTTCTCACTCCCTCCTTCTAAATTAGACTTCTGCACACAGTAACTCTAACATGAGATGCCACAGTGGAAAGTGCACAGCAGGTTGGCTGACAGGGGAGCACTCTGCTTAAAGAGCTCCAGGATGACAGGAAGGTGACAACCTAAGACAGAGCAGGCAGGGAGCTCTGGTGTCACCACTTAACTCAGGAAAAAAAGTTGGAGAAAAGACATTCAGAGAAGGTTTATACTGAGCATCACTATTTAAACTTCAGCCCCTGCCTACCATTTCCTATTTGACAGAGAAAATTACATCTATACAGAATCTTCTCCCTTATCAGAAGAACATGCACATAAATTCTGTAGCATGTAAGGAAGTTCTGAGCATTCGTACAAACATGGAGCAAAACACTTTCAACACCACTCCTGTCTCTGCTATTGGTTCTCTATGTGGTACATATAGACCAGTACATATTGTGCTATGTAGACCTATTGTCTTATTTATGCTGGGATGAAGCTATCTTCTCTATGAGGGTAAGTAATTATGGGAAAACAATCTCACTGTGGTGTGGGAGAAACACAGTGTGGTGGAGGAAAGAGCTTCTAGTAACACAGGACCTGTCATCAATCATCTAATTCTCTGTTGCCTATTGTACCAAGACTAATCAAGTGTGACATTTTCTCTATACGGTAAGTTATGTAAGCAATGTCAAATCTGAAATAACTGAATCTTTCATTCCAACAAGCCTCACCACACCACAATAAATTTTCTTTAGTGTTTTATCTTCACACATGGGGTTTTGTTAATCCAGTTAATTACAAGCCTTTAATTTCATTTTAATTATAAATATACTTACATATTCAGCTATTCAGATAAGTATAACTCAAAGGTGACCATGAAGAAGACTTGAACTCAGTTGATTTTCTTATTATCATTGATTTCTTAATGAATCATTCTTAATTTCACAATCTAAATCAAAATATAACAAGAGTGAAGAAATTCACCCATGAGGCCATTACAAATTAAAAATAATAAAATAGCATGGAGAATGTCAGTTGATAAAGAATGAAAATATTAGATTAAAAACATGCAATGAACTTCCCTGCACCTGACACATGTCAAAGTACAAGTGGACTATATATAAATCATTCACGTGTCCTTTCTTGTATCTTCCTTGAATACAAAAGCCTTGCTGACAATTGTTGATTTTGAACTGTATTAATGAGTAAACAGTGACAACACACATGAATGATTAGGATTCTCTTTCAAGACTACTTTTTATTTCTTTTGCCTCACTATGAATATATTCAGAATTCCATGGACTGACTTATTAATGTCATTCCTGGGGATATAGTGGGAGAGGCGAGGGTGAATGAAGGAGATTAAGGTGAGGGTATATGGTTGATGGACTTCATATACCCATATGAAAATGAACAAAGAAACCTCTTGTGATTGCTGCAATAGGGATGAGGAAAGGGTTGAGGGGAGGACACAATGGGAGCCATGTGACCAATGTATAATATAAG